CATATGGTAACCAAAATTCTGAACATCATATCACAAGATAATATTACACAAACTTAATTAAGAAACTTAGTACGGTTATTCTTCATCTTCATCATCATCGTCTGAAGACGATAAATTACATCGGAATTCATCCTCTGGTTTTGCATCTCCCACATCGAAATCAATATTCATCGGTTCTACTTGAGGGAGTACCAAATGCTCGACGTCAAGGTCTTCAACTATGGTCATCAAAAGAGCAGCATCGTTTTCTTGTTGCAAAGTCGCCGTATCTTTGTCTTCATATTCTCGTAATGTGAACCGGTTGATTGGTTTCCAGCTGGTAAATAGTCTGTCAACATTTCGCATACCGAATCCACACACTTTTCCCTCATATTATAATGCCTTATTTGCATAATCCTAGAAGGTAATGATAACTGCGAGTGACCTTCTCGACAGCCATCATATAAAGGATTTTTCGCTCCTTCTAACAAGTTGTAGAACTTCTTAGAATGGTTGCATCCCGGATCTACTACATTTTCATAACCATCACCATGTTGATAGTTTTCAAAACTCACATTATCACGAAATGCATCATTCACCATTTTCACATATATATCTTCTACTACATTACCAACTTCTTCACTACCACTAAAATGTGTTTGATCAATGTAACTTGTTCCTAATTCCATGTCAAGTTCTTCTCCATGCTTGTACCACACATAATAGTCGAGCATAAATGCTTTACTATATATAGGTTACAATATTTGTTGTCCCAGGAGAAATTTTTCGTTTTAGCAAACACTGCAAGGGCAAAAGAACTTACCCTGATTACTTTGTGCTAGAGGATGACTATTTGCAAATGTCATGAATTGCTCTACTCCCTCTACGAATTCATCCGAAAAGTTCCGGTTTCTTCATTGATCTTCTTGTACATCCAATCTCGAAAATTAGTGTAGTTGTAATTGTCTCCCATTATATGACCGAACGTTTTTTTTCTATAATTTGTTTTCTTACGCTTGAGATGATAAAATGTCTCGTTGCTGATATATATAATGAAAATTTCCCGACTGTTTTCCTACTACTTTCCGACTGATGTTTCCGACTGATTTGTTTAGTCGCTAAAAATTGTTACACCTACCTAGCAACGCCATTCACGTGTTTTGTACCGGTTTTTAACGACTGAAATACGACTATTTAACCTAAAATATTTCAATGACTAAACAGTCACCAATTTAGCGACTGATGAACGACTGATATTTACCGACTTCGTATTAGTCGCAAGTCATTCGCTAATATATGACTACATTGCTACTATTTTATTTAGTCGGTATTTGCCGACTGATTACTAAATGTTTTGTTATGGTCGCACAGAAGTCACTGACCAGTCGGGAATCAGTCGGTAAATGTAGCGACTGCATATACAGTCGGTAAAAACGTGTTTTCTTGTAGTGCGTTATTATGACCCGAAATATTTTTTCTTACATACTTAGGTTATTGTATAAATATATTATTAATCTCAACATCACATAATTTCTTTTCTATGTCTATTATTTATATCATGTTTATGTTTTTATTTATATGCTATTTAATTTTCTATAATATATTATGTTACAATTATAATCTACTATTTACAATTATAATAAGTAAAGATAATTTAAATACTCATTACTTTAAATAAAAAACTTTTAAAAAGTTGTATGTGTTAAATACAATGACATTCTAGGAAAATATCTTACGATCTAGCTTAAAATATTATTATGGATTAAAAGTCAGTGTAAAATTATAATAAAAAAATATGTAGATATATTAATTTTATTTAACTCGTAGGTCTTTAGTTACTGAATTTTATGTGAAAAAATTTATTTAATTTTAAATATTTGTATGTAAAATATATTATTATTTCACATTTTTTTAATATTTTTAATTCATATGCTTTATTATTTAAAACAAACTATGAGAATAATGTCTAGGGATTCTATAAATTAAAAAAATATATACTTAGTAAACATGAAAACAAATATTTGTGTTGAAAATATTTGTTATGAAAATAATTGCTGTCTTTTTAATATCTAAAATTACTTATGGTATGAAGTCTTAGTTATGATCCAAGTGTTGATTTAGGTTCTCATGATCATAAATTTTCAATCACAACTGACTCTAACTTACACAGATTTCTAGTTCTTGCTTACATATTTTATTTATTTCTTTAGTTTTTCAATATATTATTTTGTCCATGGCAAAGTTATGTTAATGTTTTATTTGTATATAATATATCTTCGAGTCAAAGTACATTTCTGGCACATAATATGATGTTTAACCGTACGGCCCCACACAGGCTGAATCAGCAACACAAACTTTAAACGGTCATGTCAAGAAAGCTGGTCACAAGCTTACCAGACTCACTGTTTCTCACGATTTTTTTTTGTTTAATCCAATCACTTCCTCTTTTGGAAAATTATAGTCTACATTTCTTCATTTGGTGGCACAAAATCTTCCTTCCAAACTCTTCCTTTGTTCGCATTCCAAAGCCGCAAAGTCCCAAACCAATGCACTTTAGCATATGAAACAGGAAAAAAATTGCTGGATCGATCTTTACAACTCCTGAAAAAAGAAAGGATTTTGGTTTCTAAATTCTGATCACAATGTTTCAGATGACCCATGCTTAATGACAACTCCAGGAACAACTTCGTTGGAGAATTCAATGTCATCATCTCTTTTGAAACTACTGTACTACACCAGGTCTCCTCTACTGGAATGTAGCTTATCAAGCCACAATGCATTAATGTTATGGTAAAGATTCCCTGTGACATGAGCTGGAGGAGTCACAACAAACTTGCTCTCGCTTCTTGCGTTAATAATGAAGACATGAGAGTGCTGCCACTGCCATCGGAGAACCAGAAGAAAAATTTATGAATACATGTAAACAAAAAGAGCAAAAGAAACCATTACATAAGTCAGGAGATTGGATTACATCGACAGTGAATAATGATGATGTGAACTCACGTGTATGTATTGAGAGCATGTATTCTGGAGAAGAGAAGTTACACTTCCTGGTTTCTGATCAAGCTTCTGGATTCCCTTCTCCATCAGCTGAAACCTCCATCACAATTGATTTTTTCCATCTCCTGCAGGAAGGGTCTTGTGCTCTGGCTGGGGCTCACCCTTCTTCATCTCGCTACTGCTTCTACTAATTTTACAATACATTTCATCCCCACTTTTCTTCACAACATTTCCAACACTTGGAATCTACTCCGATTAAATTCTGTTGATTATTCAATTCTCTCATCTTCAATTTTCCATGTTTGGTACCTGGAGTGAATCCGGTGACTGTATTTGCAGAATGTATTATAAATATCCATAGCCTCTATTATGCTCTTAGCATTTCCTCAATATTCATTCATGGTGATTTCAGATGGATGGATACTATTCTTTAATTTTCTCATCTGGAAAACACAGACAGGTGGATGGTTACGAGGCCGGGAAACCCGATTGCCTCACAACCACGGTGTGGGATGGCCTCATCAGCTATTGGACGTTTCCGGACTCGGTCAGAACGTCGAACACAAACTCCGGGAACCGCATGACCAAGGACGAGCATGGCAACACGAAGGTGCTTCACACCACGGGTCGAAAACCTCACAGGGGAGTTCGTCTTGACATGGTAAGATGATTTTTAATATCAATTAATTTAATTTTTATTTTATTTGAATATATTCTAAATTAATATTTAATTTTATAAATTAATTTTAGGCTAAGGAGACAGGAGTTCTTCCATCTCTGAAAGACCTGTACGAGAGGACCCACCGGAACAAGGCTGGGTAGTTTGTAGATCCTGCTTCGGAGAGGATCTACAACGAGCTTGTTGCCCGAGTTGACGAGCGCCAGACCCAGCTGACTCAGCAGACTGGGTCTCCAGTCATATTATCCACTGTTGACGTGGATAAGATTTACGAGGAGGTAAATAATTTGTTTTACTATTAATTTTTAATATTTTTTAAATTTTTCTTAATGTTATTAAT